TCTATACTCGCAGCGTCCTGCGTACTGAACTCCAGAATCCAACAAGCAGTAGGGTGGGGAACCCTGTGAGGGCAAAGATCGATGCGTGAGCATCTCTTACTCAGCTGGGGACGTGCACTGACAGTAAAGCAGTCTGAAGAAAGACTTGAAGGCGGGGGTGTACTCAAGCGTTCACGGGTTTCTTCAGTCTTGGAAAAAATGGAAAGACGTACCCAAGGACCTCCGAGGTGAGTGCTAGCTACGGCGGCTGAGAAATTAAGAACCTTCAAACTGACGTGTCACGTAGCCGATCTCAAAGCCCGCCATCCGTACTACTTTAGACTGCTCGAACTTGCCGAGTCTTCCCCTGACTTTGATCATCCCGCGCCTCCCAACATCGACAAGAAATATAAGCCATCCACCAATGATTCTCCCAAATCATCAGGCGGCGTTGTGTCAGAGACGACCAAAAAGAGCAAGGGCAAACGACCTGCAACTGCTCCGCCCTCCGAAGATGAGAGGATGGCAGGATCGGGGGAGAGCGACAGCGATGCCCCAGTAACTCTGGCCCCGAGACACAAGAAACCAAAACCAACTATTCGAGTCTCTGACACCGCTTCTTCTACGGATGCTCCCGTCTCTTGCATGTCTCCTCAGTGGGACTCGAACCCGCGAGATATCAGCCGCCTCCTTCGCAATATCCTAAGTAACCCCTCATGGCGTCAAGTCTGCTTTCCTGAAAGTAAAGTCGCCGTGCCACAGGTATACAAAGTATACAGAGATATCTTCCTGCGATCTTTCCGATTTGATCCGGCCATGAAGGACGCGGAGAAAAAGGGGCTGGTCGCAAAGATCGAAGGAAATGGTGAAAAGTCGACGTGGGTTGCCACAGAGAAGTTTGGAAGGCATGTGCACAACCCTGTGAGGGCTAAGATATCGGCGTGAGTACATTGCGTTTATCATTGTGTCGCAGCTGATGCGCGCAAAGACTAAAGAGAGATTGGAAGGCGGGAGTTTATACACCTCACTTTGATCCGTCTTGGGAGATTTGGCGGCATGTTCCCGCGGGCTTGCGTAGTGAGTGCTAGCTATGACGGGCCAGTTGTGAACTTGAATCAAGCTGACATGCCATGTAGATAGCTTGGAAGCCAAATATCCCTACTATTTTGACCTTCTCCGACTCATGCGGCCATCCTCCAACCCCAGTCGCAAACATCCTCTCGATAACCGTCCTCCCACTTTGCTCACTGGCGTTGAGGGAGAAGCGATTCAACTCGGCAAGAAGAGCAAGCGCACAGTCGCCCATCCACCCCCAAATTCTTACGAGAATGAGGATATGCCGCGGGGGATGAACGATAGTCTGGCTCTAGACAACCATCAAGCTCCTTCATGCGTCCCCTTCGGCATGGACCCTCCTCTGTGGTACCCAAACCCGAAAAGAACTGCCGACCTTCTTTACTTTATCGGCAGGAATGATTCATGGCGTCGCGCCATCTTCCCGCAAAACAATGTTACTTTAAACCCAGACATATACAAGGTGTACATTGACATCTTGCTGGAGTTTCGCCCGAGCGACCCATTCTTGACGCAAGCGGAGGAAAAAGGTCTGGTCAGGAGAGTAGAGGGAGGCTGGGCTGCAAGAAGGAAATTTGGAGCTCGAGTGGTGAATCCAGTGGAAGTAAAGATATCGTCGTAAGTATCTACTAGCTCTTCCAGAACAGAATAGCTGATATCGCCGTAGTCTCAAGAGCGCATTCAAAGCGGGCCGGTATCATTATGAATACGGATTTCAAGAGTCTTGGAGAGGATGGGGGGACGTGCCATATGATTTAAAGGGCGGGTATCAGCAACAAACGCTGAGGTATGATATGAAAGCTGACATATTGTATAGATGATCTCAAAGCTAAACACGCCTACTTCTTCAAGCTACGCGCACTCATCCAAGGATCCGACCCAACCGCCCTATCCGGCAACGTCGACGTCGAGGAAGAGGCAGAGGTGAAGCGACCGGGAAAGGGTAAACGCGCAGCTGTCAATCCACCCTCATCGTCGTCTGAAGATGAGGATATGGCAGAAGCAAGCGACAGAGACGACGATGCCAATGTGTCTCGATTGTCAAAACGCAAGCACTCCTCCTCTCCCCTCCCGGTCCCTGTCTATCGCAAGCGACGGCGCGTCCTTCCTCCCACTAGGTCTCACTACGGGTCAGAGTACTCCGAAGACAGCAGTGTTGTCTTTCTGGAACAGAGAGTAGCTCCAGGGGCAAGAGCGGATACGGCTATGGGAGTATCCTCTTCCGAAGAAGGCGAGGAAGAAAGTGGAGGAGACGAGGAAGACGATTGAGAGGAAGTCGAGGAAGAAAGCGGTCACAAAGGTCACCTTTCTGTCTATATAACAAATGCATGCATCAACGCTAGTCACGACTTTGGAAGCCTGATGACCCGTCCTTCAACGTCGCGGGCTTCTTCCTGAGAATGGTATGGTGATACTCCATCAACCGTCTTCGATGCCGCCACGTCGGTCGACCAAGTTATTGCGCTCGGGCTTGATCCCGTTCGTTGATGCATCATCAAATGCGGAAAATTCATCGATGGAGCTGTCCTACATTGTCCGGTCCAGCTCGTCTCAATACAACAACCACTTCTCTCTTCTCTCTCTTATGCGTGTCCGTTCATATACTTGTACTTGGCTACAATCTTGTCCTACTTGGGCGATGAATACAATTATCTCGTTATCTCTTCTTATCGTCCATATCTTGCCGATTCAAAGGGCCGTACGGGGTGCCGTACGCTTGTCGTTGATCCATGGGGATGGTTTGTGGATTAAGCGGCGGACGCGGCGTACTCTTTCCTCTTGATACCATGCAAGATATACTACCCCCCCCACAAATCAGCTTTTACCCACCTCACCTACCAAACGCCCAAAAGGAAAGGAAGGGGCCAGACTCACAAACAGCGCGATAAGAGTAAACGGGATACTGCAAAGCAGAATCATGACAGCATAAAGACAGAAAAGCGGCGTGTCGACTTGGTTGTTGTCGGGGTAGAGGCCGGTGTATGTTTGGGAGCCGGTGGCGACGACGATGAATAATTTGAGGAATGCATTTGCGACGAGGACTGCGCGGAGCAATGGTCAGTGGGTCGGGTCTGGTTTTGGGTGGGGAGGAAAAGAGGGGGGACGTACAGAAGAACTCGATTTCGACGAGACCTTTTTCGTCGTATAGACCGTTGGCGTAGAAAGCGTCGATAAATTGCTTTGCGATGGGGAATCTCCAGCTAAAGAGTTTTTTTTTTTTTTTTGTCAGCAAGAAGCAAGACGGGTATCTGGGGAGGGGCTTACAAGAGATCGGCACAAGCAGAGATCAAAATGATGAGCCACATGGCAACGTCCAAGCCGGCGGCAAAGCTGAGACCGACTGTCAGTCATCCTTTAGTAATCAGGAGGGAGAGGATGGAACGAACATGACGCCTCCGAGATGCTTGGGGATATTGGTGTTGCCTATGTCCTCGTCAGTACATGCCATCTCTCGCACAAGTAATGATAGGCGGAAACGCACCGACATATCCTGCCTCGGAATCGCCATCAATTTGATCATACCGGGACTGGTCGTTACCCAGATAGTGGTCTATTGTCCATGTCAGAATTGTACTCGTGACGAGAGAAGAAAAGCTCACCCATGGTGTCTGCAAAGGTCTTGGTGTTCTCGATAAAGATCATGATCCATACGACGAGGGGCTAAATCCAAGTCATTACAAAGCCTCGCAAGGTAAAGAGACGAAAGTACCATGATCAAAGCTCCGAGCGCAACGATAGTCCACAGCTTGCAGACGCGCATCCAGAGGTCGGGAAAGGTGCGGGGACCGAGCCATTCTGCAGTCATGACGAAGAGTCTTTGTTAGTTTGAGTTCTTGGTAGAGTTGAGGGGTTGTGTTGAGGAGGGCTGAGAGACGAACTTGAGGGCAGGAGATCCTTGACCTTGAGGGTGTTCCTAGAGAGCTTGGCTTTGAGGTCCAGTCGGGGTCTTGAAAGTCTTGCCTTGAACTTGAGGTGGAGCCAGTATCGTCGGGTCTCGGAGATGTGCTTGGAGTCGAGGAGTGGCGTGGGTGGGAGGTCTTTGTCGGGCTGTTTATCGGTGTGTGAATGTGTGGATTGGGGCGAGGGCGGGGTGAGGATATAGGGGCAGTTGTGGTTGGGGATGTAGGGATTGAAGTGGTGGCGGTCGTGGTTGAGTTGCTCGGAGGCCTTTTCAAAGTGCGCGAGATGTGGCATGGCTGCGGTACAGAAACGGGATCCATTGTGGAAAAGTCGCACAAAAAAGGAAGTCGCGTCGCGTCGAGGAGCAGAGGCACAAAGGGGAGGTTTACGTAATTGTTGAAACGCCGAATAGTTCCGCTGTGGCTCGACTTTTCATTCTCTCTATCTTTTTGGGACAGTATACGGCATCCTATACACCGCAACGATGGGTGAGTGGGGCAGGGCAGGGCAGGGATGGGGTGGTGCTGACAGGCTGCAGCTCCCAAGAAGACCAAGTTCCAGAAGCTCGACTTGTTCAGTGACAGTGCGTCCTGCAAAAGTTGATCGGAATCCTTACTGACTATCCATCAGCCAGCTATGGCGGGTCTTGGGCTGACGATGACATGGTGGACATCCCCACTGCTCGTACGTCTACTCGCATCCAGGAAAGCATTCCGCTGACCCTCCCCAGCCGCTCCCAAGGCCGACAACGGTCCTCAGCGCGGCGAGCCTGGCTACCTCGACTCCATGCCCGACCGTGGCGCCCGCGACTTTGGCGGCGTCCCCAACTTCCGCGAAGAACTCCCCCTCCCCACCCAGCCCCCCTACACTGCGCACATCGGCAACCTCTCTTTCGAGCCCGACGCGGAGGAGCAAGTGAAGGGATTCTTTGCCGACCTCATGCCCGTCAGCATCAGGATCATCAAGGATCCCACCGGCAAGCCCAAGGGTTATGGTTATGTCGAGTTCAAGACTATTGAGGGTTTGAAGAATGGGTTGGACAGGAAGGGAGAGATGTTGCAGGGCCGAGAGATTAGGATCAGCGTCGCTGAACCTCGTACGTTTTTGTTTTCCCAGGACGAATCACGCTGATATGGTTGACCAGCTACCAACCCCCGAGCGCCTCCTTCCCAGGCCGAGGAAGCCTCCCAATGGCGCCGAAGCACCCCCCTCCCCTCTCGCGAATCCTCTTCCGCCCCCGCCCGCCGAGACGGCCCCGCCCCCGGCCCCTCTTCCGACCTCGACTGGTCCACCGCCCGCGGCTCCCGCTTCACCCCCGCCCCTCCTTCCCAGTTCATGGACCGTGAGCTCTCTGGCGCCGGCAGGCCCCGCGAGATGCGTGAGAATGCTGGTGTGAGCGACTCTGCCGACAAGTGGAGGAGTTCCAAGCCATTGGCGGATATCAAGGCTGCTGGCCGTGATGCCCCTCCTCACCAGGCTGGTGCGCCTGCGGGCCCTACCAGCCCTAGTGCGGCCGAGACGGAGACTACGTGGACGAGGGGAAGCAAGCTCAAGACGCCTGCTTCTACCAACCCCCCTACGAGACAGGGTTCCGTCGACTCTTCTCCCCGCTCGCCTCCTCCTGCTCCTGCCGCCCCCGCCGAGCGCAGAAAGCTCGCGCTCAAACCCCGTTCCGCCGCTTCCCCCCCTGCTTCCACCGACGCCCCCGCGAGCGCTGCTGGTATCTTTGGTAACGCCAAGCCTGTCGACTCTGCCGCTAGGGAAAAGATTGCAGAGGACAAGATGAAGGCGAGGGAGGAGGAGCGCAAGAAGGCGCAAGAGGCGGAGAAGGCGCAGTTGAGGGAAGCGGAGGAGAGGGGAAAGAGGTATCAGGAGGAAAAGCTGCGTTCGATCCGACAGGCTCAGGAGAGTGTGGGTGGACGACCTGCGGCGCCTGCCGGAAAGGGTCCCGCCAGGAAGCCTTCGGCGGACAAGCCCAAGAAGGATGAGCAAGGGTTTGAGCAGGTGTCTGGTAAGGGCAAGGCGTCGGACAAGGCCGACAACAAGCCCAAGAAGGACTACTCTACGAGGCCGGCGTTTAGCTTTGCCGCTGCTGCCGGTGCGTTGAAGAGCGAGACCAAGGACGAGGAGAGCCTGTCAAAGGACCTTGAGGATGTCAAGATCTAAAGACGGATGAGGGAGCTTTGGTTTTTGTGGATTTAGAAGTCAAGGCGAACGTAATAATGCTGTTTGTAACTTTTCTTTTGATATCGCTGAGGTAGACGTACAGATCTGTGATTTCTAATCTGACCTCTTCTTCGGTTTGCTGTGATGTTAACTAGTGAAATTGGTAACACATGGTGCATTCGCTGATACATGGCTTCTGGCTTCTGACTATCTTACAATTGCTCTGGACGGGACTTGGGCAAAGTACTTTTGGACGAACTCGGTGTTGATCTTGAAACTGGGATCGGAGTCAGCTTGCCTTTTTGGTTCAGGTGATACTTGCGCATCCTCTTTCTGGCCCTTCTCCTGGCCATCCTCCATGTCGCCACGAACGGTAAAGCCGTGTACAGCGCCAGGGAAGCCTGCCTTCGGTCAACACATAGTCAGACAATTGTGATTTAGACTCACGCTTGACAAGGACATTCTGCCCCAGATTCTCCGTCAACACCTTTTCAACCTCATCAAGCTCCTCTTCACTCATGATACCATCTTCATCGCCCTTTGTTACCTGGACAGGGACGCCCTTGACGGGCTTGACGTCGTCCACGGTCAGGAAGGAGGGGTGGTTCGCGATGATGACGTCGGGTCGGGCGGGGGAGGTAGATTGGGAGAGGAGGAAGGCGTAGCGGGCGCCCCAGCAGAAACCGACCAGGGCGATCTTGCCGCTGCATTCCCCGTGTCAGGTGGGAGCTACTGGGGTTTTAAGAAGGGGGGGCTTACGTGGATGGGTCGGATCGAACGGCTTGGACGTACTTTTCGATCAGCGGCTTGGAGACTAGAACTCTTTGCGTCAGTACCACGACCATGAAGAGGTGGAGGAGACGTACCGGCTTCGCGGTGTTTGGCCAGCCAGGGGCCCATGGTAGCGCCGGCCTTGGCACCATCGGCCGTCTTGGAGGTGGTAGTAGACTCGGCTTGGTACCTCGCATTTGGCGCGATCGCCTGCCATCGTCTTGTTAGTTTTGCAACACAACAGCACGACATCACGGAGCTTACTTGGAGGAGACTATCGGGGACAGCATCGCCCTCAAAGAAATCCGGCAAGAGCACCTTCCACCCCTTGCCCGCCCACTCATCAGCCAACAGCTTGGTATTGACGAGGTCGATACCGAAGATGTCGGAGATGAAGATGACGGTGTCTTGTTTGCCCTCGCCAGCGGAAGAAGGGGCCGGGGAGGAGGGGAGGGAGGTGTAGGTGCGGAGGGAGTGGAGGATGGAGGTGGAGCCGATGGGTGTGCCGGCGTGGATGTCTGGGGGATGTCAGGGGTGAATGGGAGATGCAGGGTGGGGGGCTTACGGCCTGTGACGCAGCAGGGGGATACGGATGTTTGCTCAGACATGGTGTATAGAATGTGGGGATGTAAGAGAAGATGGGCGCAAGAGGAGGCGACGTTTGGGCGACGTCACAGCGGACCCGCCCGGTGGAGGCAGGAATGAGTTTTGTGGCGGTTGGCTGACATCCCCTTGCATCCTTGCATCCCGGCTGGCCAGGATAGCTTTGTTTCAGTTCGCCTCTCTGCCAAAGCCGGTTGCAGTGCAAGGCGCAACATGAATGGCCGAATGCAGCAAGGGTGTTGTTCATGCCAATCTTCCGCTACAGTTTCCACAACACTTTCGTTTGACTCCCAGTGTCGCACCCTCTGATGATGAGGATTACCAGTAGAAGGCAGGGTCATTCTCATAATCCTCATAATCTTCATCGCCCGGATACCTTCTTGACTCAATCCTTTGCCGTCGCTGATGCTCTTCGTACTGTGCGGGTATAAAAGTCGGTGTGTGGAAGATGTTGACAAGCATATGATCTTGGGACGTACAAGCTCATCTCTTCTTTCCCGAACGGACTTGAAATTGTACCTGCTAGAATCGTACGATTAACTGTAGGCATCGATCTGTGGGGTAGGTGTAGGCCGGTCCCATCAGCATGTCTTCTTTCTTGTGTTAAACGCAAACATCATGCTCACTTTCTGGTGTCCTTTCTTGAAGATCTCGCAGCAGTCGCCGTTCACTGGCCCCTCAAAGCTGACAACCTCTTCCCACCACTTCCTGAACGGCCCATCTAATCGTTCATCTTGACCGAAGGAATCATCATAGAGAGTCGGAATGATGTCGGTACTGGCTGAAACTGGCGCCATATTGGTGAATCGGACCTGCTGTCAAAACGGACGAAGCGGACCCTGGTGTCGCACTGTCGTTCGATCCTCGCCACGAGGGCTTGGATGTGCTGTAGTACGTTGTTTTTACCAGGCAAGGGGAGGACTTGGGATACTTTTTAGAAAGCCTCAATGAGTACGAGGGCGTAGGTGTTCCCCGACTTGGATTTCGTAAATGGCCCAACGATATCCATATGTATCATTTCGCCAGGCGCTCGTGCTCGACTTGACTGGCGGTTTCTGGGTCGTCGTGCCGCCTCTTGTTTGCTGCAAACGGGACAATCCGTCACCCGGAAGTTCTTGGCTTGTTTTGCGTCGAGTGGGAGCTGTGTATAGCCGAATTGGGAAAGGAGTAGGAGTTTGCGGCCGTTGACATGCCCCAAGCATACGTGTTCGTCGTACCCCACGTTGCCGCCACCAAAAAAGCTTAGCTGACATGTCTCGAAGTAGGCAGACACATAATGCAAACGACCTACACAGAACATCGCTATGTATGTACAAATCCCCCTTCCCATCTTCCTCCAACTGCTCCTTGACAAGACATTCCACCCAGCCTCGGGCGCGTGGAGCACGTCCGTGAAGCTGTGTTCCCTACCCTTGCATAGACGAAGAAGACCATGCATTGAATATGTAAAGGGGCTTGATATATTCTACAGTCCCGTTCGTACTTTAACCACATACAAGTAAATGAGCATGTCACACCTTCATAGGCGAAATATGCGCACTCTTGTATGCCCTTTGCCAAAGATGTCGCTGAGCCTGGCGATATGCAATGAATGACGAGCGCGATGAGTGGAAAAATGGCAAGAGATACTATAACCAAGAGTAGTCGTATAGGTAAAATTTAGACACGTGGATAGCGCCTTCCACACTTTGACGTGATTCGTACTCTTCGCGCTATGCAAGGAAAGAAAAGTCAAAGAGATCTGTCAAGCGTATGAGCATGGAACCTACAATTTTATCCGCTCTTTCCTGAATGTATTTGAAATGTTTCCAGCGAGTATTGTATGAGTACTTGTAGGCATTGATCTGTAGGCGTCGGCCTGATCAGAATGTCTTCCCTTATTAGACGCAAGCACGCCTACTTTCGGGTGTTTCTTGTTGAAGATCTCGCAGCAGTCGCACTTCACTGGTCCCTCAAAGCTGACGACTTCTTCCCACCACTTCCTGAACAACCCATCGAAATGTTCATCATGACCGAGGGGATAATCATCGAGGACGGCCGAAATGATGTCGGTATTGGGTGGGATGGGCGCCATATTAGTGAATCGGATCTTCCAAGGTTTCATCGTGGGTCGCCAGCTATACAGGCAGTCAGCCGTCGTTAACTAAAAAGGGTAGATCACATACACGTTGACTCCGAATCTGTCATCTTTCATCCGCTCTTCCAACTCAGACATGTAGTCCTTCATCTCCCAAGTCGTCATCGCGAGCTGCCTTTTCCAGTCACCGTCGCCATTCTTCATACTCCTCGGCAGTTCATAGATCATTGTATCCGCCAGCCCAGGTTCAATGTCGTCGGGCCACGCGTTGTGTAGCGTCAAGGACGTCTTCTCATCCACCTCGGACCTAAGCGCAAAGGATAGTCGCTCTTGAAGCAGCTTTGTGATGCGCTTCCTTGGCAGTCTTTCCTCAAACCTATCTAGGATCCCGAATCGGGCTGCCTCCACGAATTCGCCTTCCAAATCGTAAAATCTGTCGTTGAAGCTCAAGTAGACATGCTTGAGCGCCGGCCCGAAGCACTTGTACTGCGTGGGCGGACAATACGAACCGACGTTTTCGCCAAATGAGAGATGGGTGACGGAGAAGAATAGGGGGTCTGAGATCCAGGTATAATCGAAGGCCTCGTCATTACAGACGACATGTCCCCGAGGCCACGCAGTGACAACGTTTTGGACCGAATCATTGCCCATTCGCAGTCCATCAATGACCTCCCATCCATCGATGCAGAGCCTGCGGCATTGTCGTATGAGGAGCACTTTTCGAATGGCGGGATGAAGATGGAAGGGGATGTAGGATTCATACTCGTATTTCGGGTACGGGATATCAGAGTCGGATGGGATGTGGGATGGTCGTTCCAACTCTCGCTTGGGATGAGAGTACGTCTCCATTTCCCGTGCGAATTCCTTTGTAGAGGTCTCGCATCGAAGAAAAGGAGAACACGGGGATTGAGACTGGCATACATGAACGTCCTCGGCGTTCCACAAACCGTCGAAAAACGCCTTGTGATTCTGATCATTGAGCTCGATAGCTTCATACAGCCTCCACGCATTCTCTGAATAGATCTCCTTGGAGAGGGTGATGAGATTGAGGAACTGGCTTCGACTCTCGAGGGGGTTTTGGGCGAGATAGTAGGCGTAGATGGGGGAGATGACTTCGGGGGGTAAAGGCGAGAGCGTGGTCAGGTCGCAGTGGAGCGGGGGGGTCTTTGGAGGCGAGACAGACATGGGGCGGATGTTGAGTTGCGATGGTGGGATATCTATAGTTTCGAGTGAAAGAGGAAGAACAATGGCAGAAGAGAATTGCGGGCGAAATTATCTGGGCGATAGCGTCTCCTCTCATGAGCACAATTGATCCCGTTCAATACCCAGGTGGCGCCAATGTCTTCCGTCCAGACCGCAGAAGTCGGGGTTTCTTCTCTAAGCATTGTGTCTGGAGCCACACAAAGGAGGCGAGTATTCACATTCGTATCCATTTTGACTTTGCCTACGCCCACGACGACTAAACTGGTCTGGACTCTAAGAGGATGAGACAGAGGGTGCGAATGCGTGTCTATCTGCTTAGCATGATCTTGGTATGAAGTGACATGTCGCGGCCGCCCGAGACAGACGGCTGATCCATGATATCTGAATGATCTCAAGCGCTCGGAAACCGCAACATCGATTGCTGACGACTCTGTCAATTCTCACTCAACTACTCCTCGCTTCTGCTTCCCTGGCCCGGGTATATGTTGCCAGAAGATGCCGCGGTTGCGAGAGAGAGTGGAAGATGGACGGCTTGTAGAGAGACGTCCGAGTTGCATGGCTTAGATGAAGAATGATATAGCTACAAAGTCCATTTGACCGTCGTCAGTTGCTCCCAATATACACTTTAATTATGAGCGCAAATATTGCAGGCCTCTTTTCCTCCTCGTCTTTGCGCCCACGTATCTTTTAGCTCCCTGACCACATACTCTACATCCGCCCCCCCCCCCCCCGGCGAACCGAGACCCTGCAGATCGAACGATGAGAAATGTCCATCCGGGAACGCCGTGATTGTGCCGACAAGTACGGCGCCTGAGGTGTTGAATGGCACCGGGGAAGAACAGACGGATGCCGTGAAGTTGAAAGATCATGATCAGATGAGTCAGTATGAGCGTATGAGGGTGTTACGGTCGGACCAGCAAGGCCAGGTGGGAGGTGTATCGAAGGCGGTCTACACATGTATCTCCGCATTGTTGATATAGGCCGATATAGGTCGGGTGGTGTCAGTAAATCTCTGAGACCGGTGAGAGCGTGCGGCACATGGGTATAAAGGCCTATAGTCAAGTTGCATCATTCGCAAATCCGACTGTATATAAGCCTCTTGCACCCTCACCTTTCGGATCATATGAACAAAACATCGCTCCTACCATCGCGTCTGCTTGTCTCAGGAGATCTCATAAGTCTCCGGCCTGGTGGATGACAGACTACTGCTGGTCACTGGAAGCCTCAGCTTCGTCAGACTGGGTGGCAACCTGTTCCTCAGAACCATTGCCACCAAACGCACTCCTGACAGCATCCGCCTCTTCGGCAGTGTACAACGAAGGGTCTTCATCGATGATTTCCTGTCGGATAGAGGCGTTGGTCGGCATCTGGGAGTAGGTAGATTCTTGGTCTCGAGCGTTGGAAGACATTGTTGGTTGATTCTGGTTCTTGTTGGTGAGGGACAGGATAGAGGATGAGCTGGGGCTATTATAGCTTTTCGAATCCATTCGCTTGCTGACCCCGAGGGTTCGCTGACCGGCCAGTCGAGCGACGTCGCTGTGGACAGTCAAAGGGCTTGCTGCCGATCTTTCACATGAGCTGGACAGACTACCGTTTGCTATGACGAGATCCTTTGATCTTCAGATACTTACTAACAGTCGCGGCAGCCGTGCCCGCAGGCTAGGTGGATATAACAAGACTGGACAATGGCCGAGTTCTCTATGGCAATAATGGAAGGTGATGAATGCTCCGCAACTAGCTGCAAGTCTTTAGTCAAAAGGATAGCTCGGCTATGTGGGAAAGATAGATTTCTGAAACACTAGACTTATTCATCGCCGGCGGCGGCAATCATCCAACATCGACTATTTCTCATTCTTATCTTGGAAGTCCCAAACTGTGGGACACTATCCACCACGTAGAGGGTTTTGCTCGTAGCTAGTGGTAGACACTCGATCTCTTTGCATGATGGAGTATAACATGGTACGTACTTATACAGTCTAGTATCAACAAGGCAGTGACGTGCCACCAATTTCAGGAGACCTCATGGCTCAATGACATGAACCAGTGTATTGCTCCCTTTACCCCATGACCCAACAGTACCCAAGTTATCGGCCGACTCTCTCTCCATGGTGGTAAGACGACTGTTCTCCTGAGTACCACCTGGAGTTGCTGTAACGTGCACATCACCATCAAATCCTATCATCTCTACCATCCGGGACAGGGTTCTTTGGGCGAGAATTGCTGTCTGCTCTGGCGTCGACTTGGGAAACTGGGATGCAATGGCCGAGTTTATGTCCTCGGTCATCTCCGAGAGAGCTTCAGCAACGGTATGCCGATGCGCAGGGTGAAGTGTACCGGGGCGACGACCATCGGCCCCAGTCGAGGTAGACCACTTGCCTACGACCTTCACGCGGAGGAACGTCAAGGAGGAGGGAGCCTGCGCTTGAGAGGCTGCGGAGTTCGTCTCAGTATATGCAGGCAACGACCGAATCTCTTGATTGAGGGTCTCCACCAACAGTTGGGCGGAAGACGAGTAGAAGTCTTCATAGTCGTCCGAGTATGTGTCGCCACCCTCCTCGTCGTTGTTCTTGTGATCCTTATCATCGATCTTCATTGTGATGTGGCTGGACGGACCCGTCAAATATCGTACTATATAGCTGAGATGTAGAGATATGATGAGGCGACTTTATATTTATCAACCAGAGCAGTGCTGGCAATCAGAACCCGGCTTCGTCGGATGCTTGAGCACCAGCTCGACGGGGATACAAGGAGCGTGATGAGCATACAATTACAATTTGGACGTATAGCCGGCGGGTAAGCAGGCCGCCAGTATGACCTCCTTTCACCATCGAGAAGGCCACCAGCTGCTACCTCCATACATGGATGCTGCCACCCCCGAGGAGGCCCTGATCTGTGCGATAGGTGCCCCTTTACTGAATAATCAAAAAATCACGTCCAGAGACTTTCCTTTGTCCGCCATGGACTCGCTCCACAACTTGCACTACGGGGCGCGGGGGAGTGATAAAGCTCACTCCATTGAGCGAAGAGTACGTCCTCGGTAAAGCTCGGGGGGAGAAGAACCGCAGACGATGCTTCCAACCTGGCTATGGTGAGCAGAGCTCACCTCTCCGATTCTGAGGCTGTGCTCGTAGCGTCGGCTGGTCTGTGGGACCGCAAGCGCCAACGGCAGTAATGCCACAATCCCCAAATTCATCTCACAGATTAATCTGCATACTTTGTCGTTTGCATGTCTCTTGAACTGTTGCATCAACGGGGCTACTCAGACAAACGCGTAGTATCCAGTCCGCACATTATGCAGCGAGGTGAGAAAGGAACAAATGCAAGAGTCTGTCTTCAGTGTGGCTATATCCCTCTATGGTTGCCGCCCCGCCGCTTTCGAACTAGACTTAGACGCCAAATTGCACTCGACAAATTGCTCGCAAGGGCAGACTGGCGATCCCACTCCCGGCTGCTTTCATGCTCCGGCTCGCCCCTTTCTTTGTCAGCTCCATCGTCCTCCGAACTGCTCCTATTTGGCGATATACGTTGAAAGCTAGGGTGTCGGAGCCTTGAAGTGAGGCCAGGCGAGGTGGACGCGGGCCGCTCGACGCGGATGATCGAGCGAGCGACCGACACACAATCAAGGACGGTGTCGAGCCCTACAATGAGATGCCGAATGAGATAGCGAATCCGATGGACGAAATCGCTGAGATTGAAGTTCCTGAGGGAGAGGATGGAGAAATAGGCGAAGAAGACCATTCAGTTGAATATATATAGATGCTTCGCGCTACATGACTGTCAGCACGTGAGGCTCGCTGATGATGATATTGAACTCACTCTACGTTCGTACTGTAACCACATCAATGAGCATGTCATACCTTCGCTGAGCCTGGCGATATGCAATGAATGACGAGGGCGATGAGTGAAAAAAATGGCAAGAGATACTAGAGCCAGGGGTACTCGTATGAGGCAACCTGAGACTCGTAAAAAGCGACTTCAGAACTTTGAAGTAATTCGTACTCTTCGCGCTATGCAGGGAAAACAAGTCAGAGAGATCTGTCAAACATATGAGCAATGAACCTACAATTTCATCCGCTCTTTCCCGAATGGATGCGAAATTCTCCCGGCGAGTACTGTAGGAGTACTTGTAGGCGTTGATCTGTAGGCCTGATCAGAATGTCTTCTCTTCATTAGACGCAAGCACGTTTACTTTGGGGTGTCTCTTTTTAAAGATCTCGCAGCAGTCGCACTTCACTGGTCCCTCGAAGCTGACGACTTCATCCCACCACTTCTTGAACAATCTATCGAAATGTTCATCTTGATTGAAAGGGTAATCATCGAGGACGGCCGAAATGATGTCGGTATTGGGTGGGATGGGCGCCATATTGGTGAATCGGACCTTCCAGGGCTTTATCTTGGGTCGCCAGCTATAAAGGAATCAGCCATGAAAAATCAAAAGTGCAGATTACATACGCATCGGCTCCCCACCTGCCATCTTCCATCCGCTCTTCCAACTCTGACATGTAACACTCCATTTCCCTAGTCGTCATCGCGATCTGCCTCTTCCATTCACCGTCACCATTCTCTGTACTCCTCGGCAATTCATAGATCATCGTATCGGCCAGCCCACGCTCAATTTCGTCGGGCCACGCGTTGTGAAGCGTCAAGGACGTCTTCTCATCCACATGGAACCTAAGCGCAAAGGATATTCGCTCTCGAAGCAGCTTTGCGATGCCATCATTGAAGTATCTTTCCTCGAACTGATCTAGCTCCCCAAATTGGGCTTCCTCCTCGTATTCGGCTTCCAAATCGTAACATTTGTCGTTGAAGCTCAGGCAGACATGCTTGAGCGCCGGCCCGAAGGACTTGGACCTGCGCGGAAATCTCTCTTCGCTAGTGTCGGGAGCATCCAATGAGACAGTCTCTCCGAAAGAGAGATGGGTGACGGAGGAAAAGAGGGGGTCTGAGATCCAGGTATAGTGGGAAGACTCGGCATGACGGATGTCGTGTTCCCGAGGCCACGCATTGACGGCGTCCCGGACCAAGTCGTTTGCCTTTCGAAGTCCGACAAAGGCCTGCCAGCTATCGATGTAGAGCCTGCGACATTGGCGTATGAGGAGGAGTTTTCGAATGGCGGGATGGAGATGGAAGGGGATGTAGGATTCATACTCGTATTCCTGGTAGGAGATATTGGACGGGATGTGGGATGGTCGTTTCAACCGTCGTTTGGGATGAGAGTATCCCTCGATCTCCCGTGCGAGGGCCATCGCAGAAGCCCTCAACCGGAGAAAAGGAGGAGCCTCCCCCAGGAAAAAAGGAGGACACGGGTCCGGACAAACGTCAATATCCCTGGAGCCGCTCCATAATCCGTCAAAAAACGCCTTGTGATTCTGATCATTCAGCTCGACAGCTTCGTACAGCCTCCAAGCATTCTCTGAATATACTTCCTTGGAAAGAACGAGGAGATTGAGGAACTGGCTCCTGCTCTCAAGGGGGTCTTGGGCGAGATAGTAGGCGTAGATGAGGGCGATGATTTCGGAGGGTAGATGGGAGAGGGTAAACGCGTCGGGGTCGGTGAGGGAGATCTTGGGGCGTGTAGGCATGATATAGTGTCGGGAGTTGCGGTTGGTAACAAAGTCGAAGAGAACGAACGCAATCAAGAACATCAGATCGTGGTCGTCAGTTGTCCTTTCTTCGAAGCAATTGATCCCGTGCGGGGATCCGAGCACTAATACTGTGCCCGTACATGTCCCCGTTGATGAAACTGTCCTTCATCGACGGTCATAGCCTCCTCAAAGTACCGCGTCCCGTCTGATCCGCGAAGTCAACTAGGAGAGCGCTCGGTTAGTACCAGGGTGGGGGACCACCTGGGAATCCCGGGTGCCGTCGTTTTTGCTCCTTTGCTCTTTTCCTTTTTACCCGAATGCGGGGTACTCTTGTCACCTGTTACCAGAAGATGCCGCAGTTGCGAGAGAGAGCGGGAGATGGACGGCTTGTAGAGAGACGTCCTAGTTGCATGGCCTAGATGATGAATGATATAGCTACAAAGTCCATTTGACCGTCGACACTTTGATTATGAGCGCAAGTATTGCAGGCCTCTTTTCCTCCTCGTCCTTACGCCCACGTATCTTCTAGCTCCCAGACCACATACTCTACATCCGCCCCCTCCGGCAAACCGAGACCCTGCAGATCGAGCGCGAAGAAAGGTTCATTCGGAAACGCCGTGATCGTGCCGACAAGTACGCCGCTGTCTACGTAAATCTCTATCACTGATCTGTCGACGATGAGCTGAAGCCGTTTGGCGGGGTAGTACTATCATGCGGGTCAGTAAAGGCCAAAGGCAAGAAAGTGGAGAGGAAGAGGGACATACTTGAGCGACAGAAAACTTGTCGGTGAAAAACACATTCTCAAACTCGGTCTTTCCGCGGTCCAACCAAGTGACTTTACTCTCTGGGAAATACCCTCCGGTCACCTTCTCCCCGGTCGTATTCGTCGACACCGTAAAGTTGATCGCAGCAGACGCAGAGATATCGTCGGGGATGGTAAAGTTGACATCGAGGTAGACCCCAGTGGAGAAGTTGACCGTCGTCGTCCCATTGCCGAGAGAACCAGAAGCGAGCTCATCCCCGAGCACAGGCGACAGATCCACAACCTCCTGAACGAGATCCCAACCCGCCGACGTCGCATTCGCCAGATAATTCGTCCTCGGCAACGTCATCGCGCTCCTCCATCCCTCCTCTTCTCCCGACGGTACCACGTTCGTATACTGCCAATTTGACGCCCACCCGATACTGATAGGTGTGTTGTAGAAGAATTGCCCGGCATAGTCGTCTTTGGCAAAGTTGGAGAGACGGGTAGCGCCGTCGATAGGGGTAAAGTGGGTACCGTTGAACGAACCGGGGAAATACTCGGTCACCGACCCACCGAGCGGGGCGCCAGGGTTGATGGAGATGGTGAGGACCCAGGCAGTCTCGGAAGAATTGGCGATGGGGAGTGAGACGAGATTCGGGCATTCGTACTGAACGCCCAGAAGCCCGATATGCGATATATTCGAAGCGTGCGTCCACTCCTTCAAGTCGGGGGAGGTGTAGACGCCGATGACATAGTCATCCGAGTACGCGATAACCATAGCCCAGTGGTCCTCGTACCATACGACTTTCGGGTCGCGGAACTGAAGGGAGCCGATATCGATGACGGGGTTGCCAGCGTACTCTTCGAAAGTGTAACCGCCGTCGAAAGAGTAGGCGATCTGCTGGACCTGGGCATACTCGGTGTTGAGAGTGTAGATAGCCACAACGCCGTCCGTCTGGTTGGGGAAGAAGCCAGAGGTGTTGTCTGGGTCGAGGACAGCAGACCCCGAGAAGACGCCGGAGGTAGCATTGGGAGGGAAGAGTGCGATGGGCTGGTTGGTCCAGTGGTACAAGTCGGAGGAGGTGGCGTGGCCCCAGTGCTGGTTGCCGGCCACAGTGTCGGTGGGGTTGTCTATGAAAAGAGTCAGGGCGTGGATGAGTCACTAAGAGAGGGGCATACATTGGTAGTAGAGATGCCATGTGCCATTGGGATCTTGGAACAAGCCATTGGGGTCATTCATAAAGCCCTGTAAAAACCGGTCAGCATTGGACGGACAAGTGTACGAGACCAAGAACATACCTGGGGAGGAGTGAAATGTATTCTCGGACGATAGCTGCCACTATAGTCGCCCTCGGGAGCGACACCAGTAGGCGCGGAGGGAGACGCTGAGGTCGAGCTCTGAGCAAAACCTCCAAGGGCATATGCGATGCCTAGGACGGCAATGGGGATGAGAGAGACCATTATACGGCGAGTATGGGGTGACAAGAAAGACGGGGCATCGCTGGCTGTCTGTTGTTTTATAGGAGCGTGGTCAGTCGGTGGCATAGCCAAAGACGCTGCCGGCAACTGGCCAAGTCTAGAGAGCGTCCCGATGGAAGAATTAAACGAAAGAAGTAATAATCGGCCCGGTCCGGGGCAAGTCCGGGGAGGTAGATGCCAGGAACGTCAGCCTATGTATGTCCCTTGGCGGGCATGGCTGGGGTTCGCTGTTCTCATGAGCGTGAGTCAGGGACGTCAAGCATAATAGGATTCGCCTGTGGGTGTGGCAGGGAGAGATGATTGCGCAGAAGAATGCATGGAATCCATTATCCACTCGCTTGGCCACTACTGCTTGGCCACGCCCGCCTGCGGCCTGACTCTTGAGTGGCAGATTTGATCCCGCCGCGAAAAGGATGGACCAAACAGGTTTTCGCGATGCTCTTTTTCGTGCGGCCAAACACGTCCACTGCGTCTCATTCCCTCCTCTACCCTCTAAACTCTATCAATCACAATGGGCGGTCGTCAAGGTAAGCAGGCATCAAACTCCAAAGTAGGACGCATGCTGACTATGGCTCTGAACAGGTGGTAAAGGTATGTCGAGCTCAGCTCCACCTTGCTTCCATAGCAAGGCTGTAAGTCATATAAACTGACCCCCGCTCCAGCTAAGCCTCTCAAGGCCCCCAAGAAGTCTACCAAGGACCTGTGAGCTCACCTCCCATACTGGTGGTTTTCCGTGCTGACATTGATCTAGCGATGAGGACGATCTTGCTTTCCAGGAGAAGCAAAAGAGGGAAGCCGCCGAGTTGAAGGCCTTGGCTGCCAAGGGTACGTACCTGATTCCCCAGTGGCTCGGATGTTAGATGCTGATGAAGTGTGTAGCTGGTGGCAAGGGCCCCATGTCCGGTGGCGGTATCAAGAAGTGCGTGCCCCGTCTATCTGCGCCTGGCCCAGTTATGCTAACGTTCTGTAGGTCCAAGAAGTAATCTCTTTTCGACTTTCGATGATGTTGTAATATCAGCACCATCCTCCATGCATTGGGATCCTCAGAATAGTGGCCGTGACTGCATTCAGCGCGCCTGTCAGCCTGGAATAAAAACACTGATCTCGTCTTTTGGCCATCGACTAGTACTCCACCTGCCACTTACCACCATCAACCCCCTGCAATCGCTCCTTTTGCTACGTCAGTCTGCTCTCAATCAACTCTTCTCTTTCAACTTCCCGGCGAAGAGCCTCGAGGAATTAGGGCGATGGATTAGGGATTGGAGAGCAAGTAACGCGCCGATATTGGCATTGCGAGGGAGGGGTCATTCGACAACAGACCAGAATTGACGCTAGGAAACCATTCACCAATACTCGACCACTACAACCATAGGTCACAGCCATAGGTTACAACCCGACATCAACATCCTCTCGCCTTTACCCACTGAAATTGGCGCTCTCATCTACTCCCATTATCTCGCTCAAAATCCCCTCGAGAGTAGCAGCTGCTTCCTCAACCTCCTCACGATGTCCAAGAAGATCTACTCGGAGAATGCCTTGAGGTTGTATGAGGTTGTGGAGCTGAGCGACTCGAACTATTCGATGTTCTTTCGAGGATTGTGGTCAGAGGGGCAACTTCATGAGAGCACGCCCCCGTGCCCTTCTTGGATGCTCCGCGAAACGGACAGAAGTCGTTCTCCCACAGGCCCGGGAGACTTTCTGGAGCAAATGGAGCAGTACACCCCTCCAACAATATATGTGGAACGCCCAGCCCACTTGGCCCGCTCTGGTGTCATCTGTACCAATTACAAGTATGGTATCCACATTCCCCTTTCAGCTCCATCCTTCCATCCGAAAGCTTCTCCTCATACGACAATGCCGAAGGCTCTACGTCGACAGCTGGGCGGTCTTCGCAATAGAAATTCGGGAAGCTGCCACTAAGTTGTCCGTCGCAGATATTGTCTGCAATCATGTAGACTCTTCTTGGATATTGGACCCACTGTTCTTCTCCATCACCCACTTTTCCCTAGGCGAACAGCTCATGACCAGCTACGAGGAAGCTTTTCTCGCAGTTCATACTGAGACCGATTTACCCTATACGACCCCTTCGGCTTGGCGTTCCAGCATCTCTGTCTGAGCCTTGGCGACGACTTTCACAGTGCAGAAGGTGGCTACGAGTCGGATGATTCGGACCAAGGCCATCAGCCGAAACGGTCTATCACAAACTTGTTAGACATTGACCTACTCTTTTCATTTTAGCCCAAGGTGGATCGAAAGTCAACCTTAACTCTGCACAACGGGAGGCCCGGCGAGATCGATACTGGGTCAGCGGATGCGGTGATCTATGAGCTGCCGAGGAGGACGGATACTGGAAATGATGAGTGGTTGAGGTAGGTCTTGACGACCGAAGTTGAGATAGCGGAACCGATGGGGAGCTGACAGATCGGATACGAAGTGGCGACGGAGCGGTCAGCGAGTGAGTTTGGCGTCGCCAACATTCGCAGACAATCTGTCAGGAGAGGGGAATCAAAGTATTGAGCCGGGGCATGGAAGCAGTTGGGAGTGTGATGCAATATCGTAATAGCATCGCGCGCGTCTCCATACTGGGAACGAGAAACCAGCCATACTTGTGGTACTTTGTCGAAGGAGTGTGGTTGGACCATGAGAGCGAGTCTTCTGGGCGCCCTACTAATATATACAAGCATACAGTACTCTACTCGAGTACTCTATTCCCAACCAGTCGACCACCCTCATCTTCCCCTGTTGAACAGCAGGCTGCGAAAAGCAAAAACAAAAAGCAAGCAAAAACGACGGCACCCGGGATTCCCAGGTGGTCCCCCACCCTGGTACTGACCGAGCGCTCTCCTAGTTGACTTCGCGGATCAGACGGGACGCGGTACTTTGAGGAGGCTATGGCCGTCGATACGAGGTTACTACCAAAATAACCTATCATTTGAACGCTTGAGCCGTAGTAGGCAAGGTTGAAATGGCTATGCATGTGAAGACTTGTTCCTCCTGGCGTCGTCGGAGCGAGGGGCTTGTGACGAGCCTAAAAGAAACCCAACTTCTGCGATCTGGAAGACTGTCGCGCCAAATTGAAATGGGTATTGAACGGGATCAATCGTGCTCGGGAGAGCAAATGATATCGCCCAAATGATTTCAATTCTCCTCTGCCATGGATCTTCTTCTTTCACTCGAAGCTATAGATATTCCACAATCGCAACTCAACATTCGCCCCATGTCCACCTCGCCCTCAAAGACCCCCCCGCTCCACTGCGACCTAGCCACTCTCTCGCCTTTACCCTCCGAAGTCATCTCCCTCATCTACGCCTACTATCTCGCCCAAAACCCCCTCGAGAGTCGAAGCCAGTTCCTCAATCTCATCACCCTCTCCAAGGAGGTCTATTCAGAGAATGCGTGGAAGCTGTATGAAGCTGTCGAGCTCAATGATCAGAATTACCAGGCGTTTTTTGACGGATTATGGAGCCGCGGGGAGATTCACGTTTGTCAGAACTCGTGTCCTCCTTACCTCCGGTGCGAGGCTTCTGCAAAAGCCCTCGCAAGAGAAATAGAGGGATACTCTCATCCCAAACGACGGTTGAAACGACCATCCCACATCCCGTCCAAAATTTCCTACCAGAAATACGAGTACGAATCCTACATCCCCTTCCATCTCCATCCCGCCATTCGAAAACTCCTCCTCATACGCCAATGTCGCAGGATCTACATCGATAGCTGGTGTGCCTTTATCGAACTTGAAAAGGGAAACGGATCGGTCCGGGACGCCGTCAATGCGTGGCCTCTGGCACACGACATCCGTCATGCTGAGTCTTCTCGCTATACCTGGATCTCAGACCCCCTTTTTTCCTCCGTTACCCATCTCTCTTTCGGGGAGACTGTCTCATTGGAAGCTTGTCACTTTAGCGACGAGAGATTTGCGGTCAAGTACAAGTCCTTCGGGCCGGCGCTCAAGCATGTCTGCCTGAGCTTCAACGACAGATTCTACGATTGGGAAACCGAGTACGAGGAGGCAGCCCGATTTGGGAACCTAGATGAGTGTGAGGAAAGACAGTCAAGGAAGAACATCACAAAGCTTCTTCGAGAGCGGCTATCCTTTGCGCTCAGGTCCGAGTTGGATGAGAAGACGTCCTTGACGCTACACAACGCGTGGCCCGACGACATTGAACCTGGGCTAGCCGATACGATGATCTATGAATTGCCGAGGAGTACGGAGAATGGCGAGGATGACTGGGAAAGGCAGCTCGCGATGACGACTTGGGAGATGGAGGACTACATGTCTGAGTTGGAAAAGCGGATGAGAGATGGCAGTCGGGGGGGCGATGCGTATGTGCCCTACATCTCTGATGGTTCACGGCTGACTGCTTGTATAGCTGGCAGCCCACGATTAAACCTTGGAAGGTCCGATTCACCAATGTGGCGCCCATTCCTCCCGATACCGACCTCATTTCGGCCGTCCTTGATGATTATTATCCTATCGGTCAAGATGAAAATTTCTATGGGTTGTTCGAAAAGTGGTGGGACGAGGTCGTCAGCTTTGAGGGACCAGTGAAGTGCGACTGCTGCGAGATCTTCGAAAAGAGACACCCCAAAGTAGGTGTTGCTTGCGTCTAATGAAAGGAAGACATCCTGATTAGGCCTACAGATCAACGCCTACAAGTACTCCTACAATACCCGCCGGGAAAATTTCGAATCCATTCGGGAAAGAGCGGATGAAGTTGTAGGTTCCATGCTCATATGCTTGACAGATCTATCTGACTTTTTTTCCTTGCATAGCGCGAACACTACGAAATACTTCAAGATGCTGAAGCCGCTTTTTACGAGTCTCAATACGACTCAGACGAGTACTTCTGGGCATAGTATCTCTTGCCATTTTCCCACTCATCGCGTTCGTCATTCATTGCATATCGCCAGGCTCAGCGACATCTTTGGCAAAGGGCATACACGAGTGCGCATCTTTTGCCTATGAAGGTATGACATGCTCATTCATGCGTTACGGCACGAACGCAGCTGTATAATATACCAAGTAAAAACAGGCTCGTAGAGTAAGTTGAATATCATCATCGGCGAGCCTCACATGCTGATAGTCATGTAGCGCGAAGCGTCTATGTATTCAACTCAATAGTCTTCTTCGCCTATTTCTCCATCCTCTCCCTCAGGAACTTCAATTTCAGCAATCCCACTCATCGTATTCGCTATCTCATTCAGATTCTCATAGTAGGGCTCGACACTGTCTTGGGAGGTATGTCGGTCGCTCGTTCGATAGTCTGCTTCGAGCGGTCCGCATCCGCCTCGCCTGGCCTCACTGCAAGGCTCCGACACCGTAGCTCTCAACGTGAAATAAAAGAAGTTCGGAGGACGATGGAGCTGACAAGGAAAGGGGCGAGCCGGAGCATGAAAGCAGCCGGGAGTGGGATCGCCAGTCTGCGCTTGCGAACAATTTGAAAGGGCCAAGGAGGAGTCGTTGAGTGCAATCTGGCGTCCAAGTCTATTTCGAAAGCGGCCGGGCGGCAACCGTAGAGAGATGTAGCCACACTGAAGACAGACTCCTGCATTTGTTCCTTTCTCACCTCGCTGCATAATGTGCCGGGCTGTATACTACGCGTCTGTCTGAGTAGCCCCGTTGATGCAACAGTTCAAGAGACATGCAAACGATGCATTATACCATGCGACTCTTTCAAAGTATGCAGATTAATCTTGAGATGAATTTGGGGATGATGATATCACTGCCGTTGGCGCTTGCAGTCCCACAGACCAGCCGACGGTACGAGTACAGCCTCAGAATCGGAGACCTGAGCTCTGCTCACCATAGCCAGGTCGGAAGCAACGTCTGAGGAAGTACTTTTGCTCAATGGAGTGAGCTTTGTCATTCCCCCGCGCCCCATGATGCAAGTTGTGGAGCGAGTCCGTGGCGGACAAAGGAAAGTCTCTGGACGTGATTTTTTGATCATTCAGTAAAAGGGCACCTATCGCACAGATTACGGCCTCCTCGGGGGTGACATCATCCATGTATGGAATTTGCAGCTGGTGGTCTTCTTGATGGTGAAAGGAAGTCATACTTTGCGGCCTGCTTGCCCGCCGGCTATACCTCTAAACTGTATTTGTATACTCATCACGCTACTTGTATCCCCGTCGAGCTGTCACCTTATCATATCTCTACATCTCAGTCGTACAGTACGATCTTTGACTGGTCCGTCCAGCCACATAACAATGACTTTCGATGATAAAGATCACAAGAACAACGTCGAGGAGGGTGGCGACACATACTCGGACGACTATGAAGAGTTCTACTCGTCTTCCGCCCAATTGTTGGTGGATACGCTGAATCAAGAGATTCGGTCATCGCCTGCATATACTGAGACAAACACCGCAGACTCTCAAGCGCAATCTCCCTCCTCCTTGACGTTCCTCTACGTGAAGGTCATAGGCAAGTGGTCTACCTCGACTGGGGCTGATGGTCGACGCCCCGGTACACTTCACCCTGCGCATCGGCATACCGTTGCTGAAGCTCTCTCTGAGATGACCGAGGACACAAACTCTGCCGTTGCATCCCTGTTGCCCAATTCGACACCAGAGGAGACAGCAACCCTCGTCCAAAGAACCCTGTCCCGGATGGTAGAGATGATGGGATTTGATGGCGATGTGTACGTTACACCAACTCCAGGCGGTACTCAGGAGAACAGTCGTCTTACCACCATGCAGAGAGAGTCGGCCAATAACTTGGGTACTGTTGGGTCATGGGGTAAAGGGAGCAATACACTGGTTCATGTTATTGAGTCATGAGGTTTCCTGAGAGTGGCACGTCACTGCCCTGTTGATACTGGACTGTACAAGTACGTATATGTGATACTCCATCATGCAAATCAATCGAGTGTTTGCCACTAGCTACGAGCAAAGCCCTCTACGTGGTAGAGAGTGTCCCAAAGGTTGACCTGTAGAAGGGACTTTCAAGATAAGAATGAGAAATAGTCGATGTTGGATGATTGCGGCCGCCGCCGATGAATAAGTCTAGTGTTTCAGAAATCTATCTTTCCCACATAACCGAGCTATTCTTTTGACTAGAAGACTTGCACCTAGTTGCGGAGCAGTCATCACCTCCCATTATTGCCATAGAGAACTCGGCCATTGTCCATTCTTGTTATATACACCTGGTCTGCGGGCACGGCTGCCGCGACTGTTAGTAAGTGTCTGAAGATCAAAGGATCTCGTCATAGCAAAAGGTAGTCTGTCCAGCGCATGTGAAAGATCGGCAGCAAGCTTTCTGACTGTTCACAGTAAAGGGTCTTTCCGTTCAACGTATCCAGCAAGTGGGCACCCGGCGCCGACGTCAGCGAACCCTCGGGGTCAGCAAGGGAATGGATTCGAAAAGCTATAAGAGCCCCAGCTCATCCTCTATCCTGTCCCTCGGCACCAACAAGAACCAGAATCAACCAACAATGTCTTCCAACACTCGAGACCAAGAATCTACCTACTCCCAGATGCCGACCAACGCCTCTATCCGACAGGAAATCATGGATGAAGACCCTTCGTTGTACACTGCCCAAGAGGCGGATGCTGTCAGGCATGCGTTTGGTGGCAATGGTTCTTCTGTCCCGGAGCAGACTGTCGTGGAGGAACAGACTGCCACCCAGGCTTCCAGTGACCAGCAGTAGTCTGTCATCTACCAGGCCGGAGCCTTATGAGAGACGCAATGATAGGAGGGATGCTTTGTTCATATGATCCGAAAGGCGAGGGTGAAAGAGGCTTATATACAGTCAGATTTGCGAATGATGCAACTTGACTTTGAGCCTTGATACTCATGTGCCGCACGCTCTCACCAGTTTCAAAGATTGGCTGACACCACCCGACCTATATCAACAACGCGGAAATACATGGATGTGGACCGCCTTCGATACACCTCCCACCTGGCCTTGCTGTCCCGACCGTAAAACCCTCACACGCTCATACTGACTTGACATACATTCCAGCATTAGCCTTGTACCTGTGGCGTATCAACCTCCATCTGATCATCATCTTTCTCCTTCACGGCATCCGTCTGTTCTTCCCCGGTGCCATTCAACACCTCGGGCGGACCACTGACCGCTGCCGACCCATCACTCCCCTCCCGAACACCCTCCGCTAACGCCTCTCTTCGCATCCGAATCAACTCGCTCGCTGTCCATCCCTTCTTATTCAGTCCAGCTGCGGTGTTGGTCCCAAACAGTTCTGTAACTTCGGCGACGTTGACCGGAGGGGTGGGGGTGTCGGCGGGTTTCGGTTGTATGATTTGGAAAAGCGCTTTCTGGATGTACGGTCAGCATTCACTCGGGTCACGGGAAAGGCAGGGAGAAGGGACGTACGATAGTCGACTTCATCAGCGGGTTCTTCTTCTTCCCGCTTTCTGATGCAGGGTAGCACGACGTGACGATATTATCGATCCTCACCAACCCCTCTCCTCCCTCTCCCCAAATCCCTTCTCTAACCGCTTCTTTCCCAAGCACCGCCAGTCCCATGACTGCTCCTTCATACCTTCCCGTCGGCGCCTGGCTCGCCCCCAATGGACTTGGGAACGGCGGGGATTTGAGAGCTTTGATTAGGGTGGATACGAGGCGGGGGAGAAGGCCGGGGTACGACTTGCCGTATGTGGAGGATATCTTGCCGAGGACGTCTGATGCTCGTTCGCGGATGTTGTTGGCTGATGGTGAGTTTGGCGTTGGGACAGGTGGATGGGGGCCGAGGGGGACAGTGAGGATGATGGATAGAAGAGGTGGGAGGAGTTGATGTATCTTTATGACTTATCAGCTTTGCCTGTGTCGTACGTCGATTGAATGACTCACGTAAGGCTCGACGAACAATCCCTCGTTTCCCAGCAAGGCCCCAATAGCATCTACCAGATGGCCCACTGTCCCCAGAGGTGCCATCAAGCACTTCTGCACGCTATCTCCTAACCACTTGACCACATACACCAGCATCCCCGCAACAGCTACATCGCCTCTCAACGAAGCCAGTGCCGCAAGCCTATGCCGTTCGGCTTCTGAATCGGGGGTGCAGTTGGCCGGAGAGGGAGGTACGAGAGCGCTGGTGAGGCGGGTAAAGTACAGTTGCAGTTCTTGCGGCAAATGGGCTTTTGCTGAAGCCTTCAAGGTCGTCGAAGCCGGTTGTGCGGCGTTCTTGCCTCCCCTCGCTCCTGGCCCAGCGGCACCCCCACTAGGCGCAGGGTTCTCTGCGATCGCAGGCTGGACACCTTCCACCGCCAGCCAGTGCGCTTTCCACTTGACACCAGCGCTGCTCGCTACGCCCGCCGGCAGCGGTTCTTTCAGATAGGACGTAAAGTCGATTTCGTCGTCCGGGGTGGTGTAGACTGTCTGGGGCGGGGCGGTCCCTTGAGAGGGAAGGGTGATGGGATGGAATGAAGGGACGGCAAGTGGGCGTGGTGGTATCAGAATTGGCTGTGCCGAGTCAGCTGTCACCCATCGACGAAGGGGTGAACACGCACCTCTACATTGAGCGCCTCCATAGCATACTCCACATCCTCTGGCATCAATACGGTCCTCTTCGCATGCACCATAAACTTCTTCGCCTCCTGCAGTATCAGATGCAGTCTGTACTCTACATCTCCAGCCAGGAGAGCCGCGGCTCCGGGGCCAAGGGGGTCGATGGGGAGTGACTGAGCGACATCCTAGACAGGGTCAGCATGCCCCATCTGTATATGGGATAGCTCACGGTGATAGAGTCTGGGGGATATATGCCCATAAGCTGCGGGGCCGGCATTGTGAATAATATATGTGGATGGATGGCAACACAATTGGTACATCAAGTGTCATGTCAGTACTTTTCGCGACGGACGCGCTGGGTAGGCTCTCTGTGCACTACATAGGGAGTGATGCTATTTTTTCATCATCGACGGCCATAGCCTCCTCAAAGTACCGCGTCCCGTCTGATCCGCGAAGTCAACTAGGAGAGCGCTCGGTTAGTACCAGGGTGGGGGACCACCTGGGAATCCCGGGTGCCGTCGTTTTTTTTTTTTTTTTTTGCTTTTTGCTGTTCGGATCCTGCTGTTCAACAGGGAAAGATGAGGGTGGTGAGCTGATTGGGAATAATCTACTGTATGCTTGTATGTATTGTTACGTCTCATGGTTCAACCACACCTCTCTGTCTTCAGTTTGGCTACATCTCTCTATGGTTGCCGCTCCGCCGCTTTCGGACTAGACTTGAATGCCATATTGCACCCAATGACTCCTCCCTGGCCCTTTCAAATTGCTCGCAGGGGCAGACTGGCAGTCCCACTCTCGGCTGCTTTCATGCTCCGGCTCGCCCCTTTCTTTGCCAGCTCCATCGTCCTCCGAACTTCTCCTATTTTCAAATATACTTTGAAAGCTAGGGCGTCGGAGCCTTGAAGTGAGGCCAGGCGGGGTGATTGCGCTCCAAGCGAATTATCGAACGAGCGACCGACACACCACCAAAGACGGTCTCGAGGATATATATGAATGCTTCGCGCTACATGACTGTCAGCACGTGAGGCTCGCCGATGATGATATTGAACTTACTCTACGAGCCCGTTTTTACTTGGTATGTTCTACAGTCGCGTTCGTACTGTAACCACATAAATGAGCATGTCATACCTTCATAGACGAATGATGCGCACTCTTGTACGCCCTTTGCCAAGAATGTCGGTAAGCCTGGCGATATGCAATGAATGACGAGCGCGATGAGTGGAAAGATGGCAAGAGATACTATGGCGAGGAGCACTCTGATAGGGCAAACAGATTATCGTAGAAGTCGGCTTCAGCCTCTTTGAATAATTCGTACTCTTCGCGCTATGCAAGGAAAAATAGTCAGAGAGATCTGTCAAGCATATGAGCAATGAACCTACAATCTCACCTGCTTCTTCCCGAATGATTTCGAAATTCTCACGGCGAGTATTGTAGGAGTACTTGTAGGCGTTGATCTGTATGAGTCGGCCTGATCAGGATGTCTTCCCTTCATTAGACGCAAGCACGCCTACTTTGGGGTGTCCCTTTTTGAAGATCTCGCAGCAGTCGCACTTCACTGGTCCCTCAAAGCTGACGACTTCTTCCCACCACTTCTTGAACAACCCTTCGAAATGTTGATCTCGAACGAGGAGACAATCATCGAGGACGGCCGAAATGATGTCGGTATTGGGTGGGATGGGCGCCATATTGGTGAATCGGATCTTCCAAGGTTTTATCGTGGGTCGCCAGCTATACAAGCAGTCAGCCGTGGTTAACCAAAAAAAAAAGGTAGATCACATACACATTGGCTCCCAATCTGTCATCTTGCATCCGCTCTTGCAACTCTGACATGTAAGACGTCATCTCCCAAGTCGTCATCGCGAGCTGCCTTTCCCAGTCTTCCTCGCCATTATCCGTACTCCTCGGGAGTTCATAGATCATCGTATCGGCCAGCCCAGGTTCAATGTCGTCGGGCCACGCGTTGTGTAGCGTCAAGGACGTCTTCTCATCCACATCGGACCTAAGTGTAAAGGATAGTCGCTTGTGAAGCAGCTTTGTGATTCTCTCCCTTGGCTCTCTTTCCTCGAACTCATCTAGGTCCCCAAATCGGGCTGCCTCCTCGTATTCGGCTTCCAAATCGTGAAATATGTCGTTGAAGCTCAGGCAGACATGCTTGAGCGCCGGCCCGAAGGACTTGTACTTGACCGCAAATCTCTCGTCGCTCAAGTGACAAGCTTCCAATGAGACAGTCTCCCCGAAAGAGAGATGGGTAACGGAGGAAAAAAGGGGGGATCCAGGTATAGCGAGAAGGCTCGGCATCACGGATGTCGTGTCCCGGAGGCCACGCATTGACGGCGTCCCGGACCGATTCGTTTCCCTTTTCAAGTTCGACAAAGGCCCGCCAGTTATCGATGTAGAGTCTGCGACATTGGCGTATGAGGAGGAGTTTTCGAATGGCGGGATGGAGATGGAAGGGGATGTAGGATTCGTACTCGTATTTCTGGTAGGAAATCTTGGACGGGATGTGGGATGGTCGTTTCAACCGTCGTTTGGGATGAGAGTATCCCTCGATTTCCCGTGCGAGGGCTTTTGCAGAAGCCTCGCACCGGAGGTGAGGAGGACACGGGTTCTGACAAACGTGAATCTCCCTGGCGCTCCATAATCCGTCAAAAAACGCCTTGTGATTCCGATCATTCAGCTCGACAGCTTCATACAGCCTCCAAGCATTCCCTGAATAAACTTGTGGTGATCAGGCCTGCCCTGGGGTGACAGCTGAAGTAAACACCAAGTGTATTTGCGGGTTGAGTCCAAGTACTTGAAGGGGAAGACACAAGTGTGCTTGGACGCGGTCTTAAAAGGAGTTGTAGAGTTTAAGGAAGAAGAGGAGGGGAGAGAAGAGAGTCAAAGAAGTTTGTTGAGGTCTCTGTCTCCACACCCAGCCTTTCTTATATACATGAATAAGTGACGGGACGATAGACGGAACGACTACGAGGAACGTCTACGACACGAAGCGGATAAGGGTACAAGTCGGCCAGTGAAGCGTACGAAGAGGCTAAAGACAATAAGAAAGGAGAGACGGGTGGAAGAAGTAAGGGTGGCGAATATGGGCGTGTCGACCTACGTCGGACAGCCTTACTAGAAGAGAGGAAGAGAACGAGTAACGAGTAACGAGAGCGAAGACGGAGACGAAGACGGAGGCGAGCAAAGCTAAAAAGAGTCCATGGGGCGTGCAGGCGCCCAGCACGCTACAAAACTTCCTTGGAAAGAACGAGGAGATTGAGGAACTGGCTTCGACTTTCGAGGGGGTTTTGGGCGAGATAGTAGGCGTAGATGAGGGAGATGACTTCGGAGGGTAAAGACGAGAGAGAGGTCAGGTCGCAGTGGAGCGGGAGGGTCTTTGAGGGCGAGGTGGACATGGGGCGGATGTTGAGTTGCGATTGTGGGATATCTATAGTCTCGTGTGAAAGAGGAAGATTCAATGAAGATTCATGGCAGAGGACAATTGCGGGCGCTCTCAGGAGCACGATTGATCCCGTTCAATACCCAGATTTGTCTCTACCTAATTGCTACCTAACGTATTGAGTCTCAGGGGACTTCTCTGTGGGACTTGTCTGTGAGGGGCTGATGTGATGAGAGCTGTAGCCTGTAGGTAGTTTTCTTGGTCAAGACTAGCAGAGCTTAGGAATTCTAATCCTTGTTGATCTGAACTGAGGTCACTGACCGCAGCAGTCGGGTTTTCTTCTCTAAGCATTGCGCCTGGAGCCAAACAACGGAAACAAGTCTTTACATTCGTTCATATTCATTTCAACTTTGCCTACGACGACTCTCAAATCTTGACACAGCACCACTCCGGTACGTAATAAGCACAACATCGACGGCCATAGTCTCCTCAAAGTACCGCGTCCCGTCTGATCCGCGAAGTCAACTAGGAGAGCGCTCGATTTATAGTTTTTGCTGATTGCTTTTTAAGCCTTTTGTTCTCTTTTGCTCTTTTGAAAACAGATCGATATTAACTTCGTTGAAGTAACGGAAGGGGCGGGCATTACCGAGAGGACGTAACAGGAGGAGGCGTCTCGGTGTTTTGAGAGATCTCTGGCCGCCTTCATGTGCTGTTGTACACGACTATGAATCTACTCCCCCGAATCATCGCCACGACGATATCTTTTCCAAGGCCAGCTAGCTTTTCCGGTTTTGAGACTTCATCACTTCGAAGAGAGAAGGGAGACCGTGAAAGGTCAGTGCTTGGGAGAGGCTTGTAGATGTTGGTAAAACTGCAAACGATACGGCTGCGCCAGCCTTCTCATGCATCAATATGGCCACTTGAAGAAACATTCTGCGATACACATCTTCGACATATGTTCTGACAACGTTCATCAATCAACTCTAATACAACGATTTCTATAGATATCCAAGCAAATACCCCAAGCAAGATCATTACATCACCGCCCGATTACAGCCTCCTCTTTACACCCTGCTCGCGACCGATCTCACTTGATGAAGAACGGGCTCCTTCTTATCGTCATCTTCCTCGTCGTTGAGGTCGTTCTCTTCTGCCTTTCGAACAGCGATCATGGCTTCGGCCTTTCGAACGTTTTGGGGTCTATCATGACGGTCAGCTGTAGGACTAGACAGGACATGAGAGTGTGAACATACCTGATATGCTTCAATTCGACATAACGAAGAGTACAAGCGAGGATGACGACCAACGCCCATAAAGCGATCATGACCTGCCATCCATGTGCGTAATGCTATCACCTCATCAGCCTCTCTACTGTATGAATCCCCGTAGGAGAGGGAATGGACATACAGGAGCTTCACTCGCGGGCCAAATAAGAGGACCACTCCATGCGCTGAAAGCATAGTAGAGGGCGATAGCGGAACCGAGGATGAAGGCACGCTGTTCGGCGTCAAAGGGGTTGAGGTCGGAGAGCCAGGCCCAAATGGGGGGCGATGTGGCGAGGGAGAGGTAGCATGCAAAGTCTATTCCCATTAAAGTCCGCTGTGTAATGAGAGGGCAGGGAGGAGGGAGGACGTACAGCTAAAGTATTTGGCATTGTCCGAGACGGTCCAGATGCTCATGATGATACTCGGTATGAGACCGATAACACCTTGAGCAGCGATGGGGATCCATCGCGTTTCGAAAAAGTCGGAGAAGAAGCCCCAGAACCAGATCATCACCACTAAGAAATTGTCAGTACTTGTATCGGAGGATGGATGGAGGAGCATGTACCGCTGACAGCACCACCGCCGATGGGGATGGCGTTTACTGCCGCGACAGACCATCTCGCTGTACCATCATCATTCTTGAGACTCCTGAGCCACAGATTGAAGTCTTTCTCTATCGTCAGCGCGGCTTGTGGCGATCAGAATTGGAAACTTACAACTGTACCCGCCCTGCCCAAGGACGCTCGCGACGTATAAGAGGACAATAAAGTAGAATAACGGGTTGAGAATAGCCTTCTTGACGGAGCGGAGTGTGAATTTCTTGTTGTCTGCTCGGCGGAAGCGGGCGACACGGTCCATCGCTTGGTCGACGTGCCTTGGGCGAAGCCAGAATGCCCACGGGCTAGAGGAGGCGAGTGAGCGAGGGGTAGAAGAAGGGGAAAAGGGGCGTACTTGGGCTTGGACGGGAAATCGGGGATGAGAATGAATCCTGCAATGCTGAAGACAAGGGTCAGGATGCCGTCGATGACCTATCCTTGTTCAGCTGCGAAACGATCAGAGGACAGGTGATAGACGTACAAACATCCACCTCCATCCCGACATGCCGTGAAGGCCGTTCATGCTGTTGTAGATGGCCGCTTGAAGGGCGCCGGCGAGCTTGGTACTCTGTTAGCAAGGGAAGCGAGAGGAGAGAATAGGTCGACGGACCATATTGCCGACTATCAGACCGTCAGCCTGGCGCTTGCAAAAGAGAAGACGACGTACTTGATTGACAACTCTGGTAGAACCCGATTCTCAACGCAAGCTCCCTAGGAGTATACTAGGGACATGATTGTGAGCGAAGGGAATCAGAGTCGTGATGATAGCGTACCCATGACATAAGAAGCATGATGGCACCGGGGTAGCAAGTGGCCTCAAGAGCACCAGTCTATCTTCGTCAGAATCGGTTCAGACGTTGTGGAATATTGCTCACGAATGCTCTCAGAACATATCTATCCGCCTATCAGTGCCTGCTCACATATTTTCAAGAGAAAACGTACACTTGCTTATAGTTTGTCACCTTGCACGTCGCGAGGGTCAACACTCCCCAGCACGTCTCGAGCGCCGGCAACCACCAGGAGGGGCGAACGTGGGTGATGACGATCTGGGAAGGGATGAGAAAGATGGCATAGCCGACGTTGAACCAGGTGGTGAAGTAGTTATACTCGTTGCCGTAGAGGTTGAGTTCTTGATATAGGGTTAGTGAAGCTGGCATGATGTGTGGATGAGGGCAAACTCACCTTCTTTCATTCCCGATACGTAGGCTGCCGAGATATCTGAGAAAGGGCATCAACTGGTGATGAATTATAATCCTCCACCGCCTACCCATAGCACGCTTTGCTGGGATGATAGACTTACTCTGCTGGTCCAGATACTTGATGACCTGCGAGATACACAGATAGACGAGCAGGATCGCGTCCAGTCTCGCGACGAACCACCTCTCCTCTTTCGTCTTCTTCTCGACGACTGCCCCTGTGTGCGGGTCAATATGGGCGGTGGGGTCAATGGCCCCGCCGTCTTGGGCTTTGAAGAGCAATGACATGGGGTGGCGGCACGGAGCAGAGGCAGTCCAACAAGACCACTGTTGGAGAGAAGGCGGGGGAGAATTGAACCATGATGCGATACATATATGGTATCTAGCTAAGCAACTAGGCTGAGCTTGTGTCTTGGATCACTGATAAGTGATAAATAGCTCACAAGATGAGATTCAACCAGTCTGTCGGGGAATCGGGATCGCTGTTTCGGACTGACGTACGTACTTTTCCTTCACGTTCGTCGGTCACATGTGACTTTTTTTGCTTTCGAAGCTCTACAATTGCCAGAGAATACTAGTCCAGCATGTGGGGGGCTTGCAGATAGGCGCTCGAAAAGATGACTACGCCACAAAAGTATGCTTCAATTGTACGTACCCCAGTCGAGGTTTGGTCGAGGTCCAAGGCCAGATGGACGCGGCGGTCGCCGTGCTTCGGTCGTGTCCGATCCGTCTTATTGACCGCGCGATAAGGCTCTGATAAGGCTTTCTTCAGCTGTTTTTTGCCAAGCCCCTGTCCCCTATTGCGGCCCTATTCTCGCCCCCTACCACATCTCCATCCACTGTTTGAAGACACGGCAGTAGACGGCCAGGTCATCAGGCCTCGCCACCGGGCACCGGCACTCGCATGGCATTCAGCTGTGGCTGAGGGAAGTGCGCTGTTACATAGTGCATGGGTTCCGTGACAACAGCCGCCAGCTTGGCAAAGCCGAACATAATTCCAATAATTTGCCGGGGTAGCATCTGGCCCAAAAGTGACAAATTACATTATTATATAGACGCTGCACCCAAAGATTTGCTCCTTTCTTTGAAAGCCGATCCCAATTACCCGACAGATTTAGTTGCCATACGGCCGATTCCCTGAATTTCATTTCGTGAGCTCTTCTTATCTCCAGACTTAGGCGCCGTCTGCTCACGTGAATAGACACCGCGTATATTTACCGCACCATGGACGAGAATCCCCCCGCCTCTTCTTCAAGAGTGACCTTGAACTGTCCCGACGAGCGACAACCTCTGCTCAGTACCCAGCATCCTGATTACCACATCGATCCCATGCTGTCACTCTTCAAAGCTCAGGATGGCGGCGCGATAGACCCCACCGTCCATGTCGATCCCCAGACAGGTGCAGTGATCGAGAAGAAGACCAAGGAAGAAAGGTGGTTCGTAGCGAGGCTGGACGCGGTCTTGTTGCTCTATGTGTGTATCTCGCAGGTCATCAAGTATTTGGATCAGCAGAGTAAGTCCATCGCCGATGAGTGTTACAAGAGGCACCTTGTACCATATAGACTGACAATCTTTCTCAGACATCTCGGCCGCCTATGTGTCCGGTATGCAAGAGGGTGAGCATTCCTCGTCAACTCCCCCAAGCAGACTCACTAACCCTATATCAAGAACTCAACCTCTACGGCAACCAGTTAAACTACTTCACCACCTGGTTCAACGTCGGCTATGCCATCTTTCTCATCCCTTCCCAGATCGTCATCACCCACGTTCGCCCCTCCTGGTGGTTGCCGGCGCTCGAGATTTGCTGGGGAGTGATGACCCTCGCGACATGCAAGGTCCAAAACTACAAACAAGTGTATGTCTCCCCTTTCTCTATCTAGATGTGTGCTGATGAACGTGTAGATATGTTCTCAGAGCATTTGTGAGCATCATCCCACGACGTCCGGGCTGGACTGATGTAAAACAGACTGGTGCTTTCGAAGCCACTTGCTACCCCGGTGCTATCATGCTCCTCATGTCTTGGGTACGTAACATTCGCCGTCCTGACCAGCTCCGCTCATACCTTCACACGTAGTATACTCCCAGGGAACTCGCCTTCAGAATTGGATTCTACCACAGTTCTCAATCCAGTACGTCATCGTTTGTCTTTTAGAATGCAAGGTTAACGATTACATAGTCGGTAATATGGTCCGTCAACGTCTCTCCTCCTGCGACTCACGCTAACCTAGTCTCAAGCTCGCTGGTGCACTTCAAGCGGCCATCTACAACAGCATGGACGGTCTCCACGGCATGTCTGGATGGAGGTGGATGTTTGTAAGTCTTCTCCCGCTTTCGATCTTATCACAGCTAATCTCCAGAGATAGGTCATCGACGGTATCCTCACTCTTGTCGTTAGTTTTGCAGGTTTCTTCCTCATCCCCGACTTTCCATCCAAACCCAAGTACGCCGCGCTTTCTTCTTTCCCCGTTTATGTCATGCTGACCAATCTGTACCAGCCCTTGGGCCTTCTGGCTCCGCCCTAAACACATCGACCAGGCGATGGACCGTGTCGCCCGATTTCGCCGAGCAGACAACAAGAAGTTTACGTTCCGATCCGTCAAGAAGGCCATCTTGAGCCCATTGTTCTACTTTTTCGTCGTCATGTACGTCACGACCGTTCTTGCACAGGGCGGGTACAGCTGTGAGTCTTTGACGGGATATCGTGATGGTTGAGCGCTGATCAATGGTAAAGACTTCAACCTCTGGCTCAGGAGTCTCCGGAATGATGATGGTACAGCGCGTTGGTCTGTCGCGCAAATCAATGCCATCCCCATCGGTGGTGGCGCCATTAGCGGTACGTCCCCTCCATCCATTCTTCAGGACAGCTACTGACGATATTCTAGTCATTATGATCTGGTTCTGGGGTTTCTTCTCGGACTACTTCCAGACTCGATGGGTGCCCATCGTCGTCCAAGCTTGTATCGGCCTCATACCCGGTATCATCATGAGCATCTGGACCGTCTCGGACAATGCCAAATACTTTAGCTGTACGTCCCTTCTCTTCGTCTTCACGACTAACCTTTGTTGGGTGATGATAGACTTTGTGTGCTACCTTTCCCTCGCTACTGCACCTCCTATCTGGGCTTGGCTCTCCGACCTCAACCCCTTTGACGCCGAACAGCGAGCCTTCACTCTCGGTTTCGCCATCGCCTTCTACTATGCCTGCGGCGCATGGAGCGGTCCTCTCATCTGGCCCGCAAGTCAAGCACCTGTATGTCCATTATCGCCCTACCGAGATTCATACAGAGTAGTGACGCTTACGGGGCGATAGCACTACGCGCATGGATGGCAAGTCACCATCGCTTTATGGGTATTGGTCATCATCCTCGCTTGTTCTCTTCGATATGTCGAGTTGAAACACATCAGGCAAGTCTCCTCCCCTTCTTTCTGTTTCCAGCACGAAATCTCAAGCTGACCATTATATGACAGACCTCGAAACGTCAAGAAGGCCGAAGCCAAGATCGCTGCTCAAGAGGCCGAACAAGCCCGCCTCGACGCCGAGGACGATGACATGAAGAAGGATCCTGTCCTCGACCAGGTGCGACCGGTCGTAAGCAGGGTGTAGAGAGATATAATTCTGGGGGGATTGGGGAAGACTTGTCTTCTTTGGGGTATTTGGGTATCTTTGGGAATCGTTGTATTAGAGTAATCGTTGATATATGTCGCTATGGAACCTTGTAGAGTCAAGACTGCAGTGTCACTGCTATAGCGAGCTTTGTATCGTTTCGGCAGTATTGTCTGGGCGCATCGTCAATCAGAGCCGTGAACAGACGCAGCGAGTAACAGGGCACAAGGAATGCTAGCAAAAAGACAAAAACGACGGCACCCGGGATTCCCAGGTGGTCCCCCACCCTGGTACTAACCGAGCGCTCTCCTAGTTGACTTCGCGGATCAGACGGGACGCGGTACTTTGAGGAGGCTATGGCCGTCGATGATGAAAGGTACATAGGGTCCTCATGAACAATCAAGGACGGCGCTCGGATCACTGGGCTTTCACGAACGGAATCTAATAGATGCCTGACGACGAGGCGACGAAGACGATATTTGGACGATATATTCTTCACTTTTTCTATCTGACTTTAATACCAGACATCTCAACATCGCACCTCCCGACGCAAGATCATGGCTTCACGGGTCAAGACCCCCCTCGCCGACTCCGACGGGTTTACCCTCTCCCATCTACCCTCCGAAATCATCTCTCTCATCTACGCCTACTATCTCGCCCAAAACCCCCTCGAAAGTCGAAGCCAGTTCCTCAATCTCCTCGTTCTTTCCAAGGAAGTCTATTCAGAGAATGCGTGGAGGCTGTATGAAGCTGTCGAGCTCAATGATCAGAATCACAAGGCGTTTTTTGACGGATTATGGAGTCGCAGGGATATCCACGTTTGTCAGGACCCGTGTCCTCCTCACCTCCGGTGCGAGGCTTCTGCAAAGGCCCTCGCACAGGAAATCGAGGGATACTCTCATCCCAAACGACGGTTGAAACGACCATCCGACTCTCCGTCCAAGATTTCCTACCAGAAATACGAGTACGAATCTTACATCCCTTTCCATCTCCATCCCGCCATTCGAAAACTCCTCCTCATACGCCAATGTCGCAGGCTCTACATCGATAGCTGTCAGGCCTTTGTCGGACTTCAAATGGGAAACGAATCGGTCCGGGACGCCGTCACTGTGTGGCCTCCGGGACACGACATCCGTCATGCCGAGCCTTCCGGCTATACCTGGATCTCAGACCCCCTCTTTTCCTCCGTCACCCATCTCTCTTTCGGAGAGACTGTCTCATTGGTTGATCCCGACACTACCGACGAGATATCTGCGGTGAAGTACAAGTCCTTCGGGCCGGCGCTCAAGCATGTCTGCCTGAGCTTCAACGACAAATTTTACGATTTGGAAGGCCAATACGAGGCGGCAGCCCGATTTGGGGAGCTAGATGAGTTCGAGGAAAAACAGTCAAGCGAAAGCATCGCAAAGCTGCTTCGAGAGGGACTATCCTTTGCGCTTAGGCCCGAGGTGGATGAGAAAACGTCCTTGACGCTACACAACGCGTGGCCCGACGATATTGAGCTTGGGCTGGCCGATACGATGATCTACGAATTGCCGAGGAGTACGGAGAATGGTGACGATGACTGGAAGAGGCAGATCGCGATGATGACTTGGGATATGGAGTCTCACATGTCAGAGTTGCAAGAGCGAATGCGAGATGACAGGTTGGGAGCCAACGTGTATGTGATCTACTCTTTTTGTTTAACCACGGCTGACTGCTTGCATAGCTGGCGACCCACGATAAAACCTTGGAAGATCCGATTCACCAATATGGCGCCCATCCCACCCAATACCGACATCATTTCGGCCGTCCTCGATGATAATACCCTCGGTCAAAATGAACCTGTCGATGGGTTGTTCAAGAAGTGGTGGGAGGAAGTCGTCAGCTTTGAGGGACCAGTGAAATGCGACTGCTGCGAGATCTTCAAAAAGAGACACCCCAAAGTAGGCGTGCTTGCATCTATTGACGGGAAGACATTCTGATCAAACCGACGCTTACAGATCAACGCCTACAAGTACTCCTACAATACTCGCCGTGAAAATTTCGAGATTATTGAGGAAGAAGCAGATGATCTTGTAGGTTCCATGCTCATATGCTTGACAGATCTCTTTGACTGTTTGTTCTTGCATAGCGTGAAGAGTACGAATTACTTCGAGATGCTAAAGATCTTTACGAGTATGGAAATACCCGAAGCGAGTACTCGTACTCGCCATAGTATTATCTCTTGCCATCTTTCCACTCATCGCTCTCGTCATTTATTGCAAATCGCCAGGCTCAGCAACATTCTTGGCAAAGGGCATAGAAGAATATACATATCTCGCCTATGAAGGTATGACAGGCTCATTCATGTGGTTAGAGTACAGTACGAACGCGACTGTAGAATATACCAAGTAAAAACGGGCTCGAAGAGTAAGTTCAACATCATCATCGGCGAGCCTCACGTGCTGACAGTCATGTAGCGCGAAGCATCTATATATATTTGGTCTTCTTTGCCTACTTCTCCAACCTCTCCCTCAGAAGCTTCAATCTCAGCAATTTCGCCCATCGTATTTGCTATCTCATCCGGCATCTTATAATAGGGCTCGACACCGTCTTTGGTGGTGTGGCATCCCAACCGAGAGTAGAAATAAGACGTTGAAATTCGACGAAAAGGGAGTCGGCGGTGCCAGTTTGGTGTGTTATTGGCGTGGCTTTCGCAAGCTACGTTTGGCTTTACCTTGTTCATCGGACGCGCCCCAGTATCGGCGAAGATGAGATACAAATGCCGAAAAATCTTGAAAGATAAGTGGTCAGGGCTCCTGGTTGACGTAAGGCTGTAAGGCTGCCCAAACAGGACCACAAATATTCGTAAGCATATAGGTGATCTTTTTTTTGTCTGAGACAAAGGAGCATGGGTAGGTGTCAAAGTAGAGTCGGTTGTTGGAGATGATATATTCGAGGTTTGAACGATTGCCACTGAAGGGTTCGGGCTCCTTGGCTACCTTGACTCGATGTCCGCGAGTAGTGGTGGGCTCTGGCGCGAGAACAGGTGCCGGACTTGAAGAATAAACCACAGTGGGAGGAACAGGAGAAGCGGGGGCGGGAGGAGGGGCAAAAGCAGGCGCTGAAGGAGTTCAAGCATTTGAAGCTGAATCATCTCTGAAGTGGTCGCAGCAACCTTGGGCGCTGTAGTAGGCTCTTCTTTGTTGGGAGGAGCGCCGTTGTTGGAACTATCAGTAGATGGATGATTAGAGACCGGGAGGCTTGTCATCAACATCGTCCGTCCCAAGGTTCTGCCTGTTGAGAGGTTCGGGACCCTGGATGGTTCCTTCATGCCGAGGAGAATTTTCGAGAATGGGAGATGAAGGAGGAAGAGGAATATCGGCAGCAGGAGTAAAAGGAGTACCGGGACCAGCAGTTAGACCGGACACCTCTTGTTCTTGAGATGGAGCATGTAGAGCACCTCGTCGGCGAGTCATTGGGGAGGGCAGTGAGGGACGTTTATTCAGAGGACATTGTGATAGGAGGTGAAGAAGGAGGTGGCGACTTAAGAAGTAAGCCACTATACTTGTTTTCTCTACTCTACTACTCGAACAAGCTATCTTCCTTTGCCAATGGTCTGGCCACTCACTTCGAGTTCTCAAATCATTTCTACTTTACACCTTGGCCACTTTCGAAGGCGTAGTTGAAGGAAGAAAGCCGCTTGACAGTCTGGACTTGGGGTGGCTAACACCACGATTCTGACGGTCAAGTTGAACACCCCTATTGGAGGCTTGGAGCTTTGCGAGTCTTCAAAAAGCTAGAAGAGGCCAGTAGATCAGCTTTGGCTGCATTCAAAGCCACGATCTAAAAGGCTTGATACATTGGCAGAAGCAGATGCTGAAGCAAAGGTGACTATTCTTTCGAGGCCTTCCACAACAGGAAGACACGGTCATCCGTGCATGCATCTCGAAGAAGCAACCAGCCCACCAATCCCGCAACTTGCAGGCTTCCCTCCCCCATGACGTCCAGTCTTTCCTGCCGACCGCATCTAGTTCTATAATGTCTATAGCCCCTGCACCAGCCCACCCTCGCCCTCGTCCTCTTCTCCAGCCACCACCTCGCCCTCTCTTAGCACCTTCCACCCCACCCTCTCCACCCCAGGGATCGTGTACCTCGCCTCCTTGACCCACTCCCACCCATCCACCTCTTCCACCTCCACCCCCACCCCCACCGCCGCCCTCGCATCTTCCCCCGGTGCTCTCAAATCCCTCGCACACGCCTCGAGCCACTCTGATACGGGCTGCAAGATCCACCTATGCTTTGTCTTGGCGGGGGAGCCGAAGAGGGGGCCGTCGAACCAGCCGAGATGGCCGCCGGCGCGGGTGATGGCGGTGTAGATGTGGGTGGAGGCTTGTATCCCTGTCAGAGGCAGCGCGAGGCCGTCCACCACTGGGTCGTCAAACGCGTTGATCGCGAGCAGTGGACTGTAATAATGAGCCTTCTATCGTTGTTGATGTAAGACTTACACCTTGACACCACTCAACACATTACTCGGGCTCGCCCAAGCATAATACTCTGCAGCACTCTCAAACGGCCACGCCCCGATCCCCCGCGGTCCCCCAATCTTGCACGTCAACACGTCATCCACCGCCCTCAATCTCGTGCGCGACCCAGCCTCCTTCCTTAGCTTCTTCAGCTCACCCATATGCCCCGCCAAGGGGCTGTCTGCGTCGTCGAATATCGCCGGGTTCCTGTCGTATGCGCGAAAGAACAGGCGGAGGACGTTCTTCCCCAGGGTGGACGAGTAGACCCTGGCGGTGAACCAGTCGTTTTCGAGTTTGTGCGACATGGCCCCCAGATCCCATGGACAGCCCAGGACGACAGCGCTCTTCACCAGCGCGTCTTGGCCGTATTCGCCCAGGTAGCGGGCCAAGATGGATGCGCCGAGGGAAAAGCCGATACCGAGGAGTTTGGAGGAGGGGTGGCGGGCGGAGATGTGGTGCAGGGCGAGAGCGAGGTCCATGGTCGTACCGGCAGAGTAGAGCTGGTCTGAAGTGACGGGTACACCGGCGCAGCCGCGAAACTAATATCCCAGGTCAGCCCTTCATCCCACCATTTCGAACACCGCATACATTTACGACAACACCCCGTCCGCCGAGACCACCCTCGCTCTTGGGCTTGATGACCCACGCAAGTATATTCCGCACATAGCTCTCATGACTCCCTCCGGTAAGACCATGACACACCACAACCGTGGGAGCGTCCGGCGCGAGCTTGAGGTGATGATCTTTCGGCGTCACATCGATCCCTCTACACCTCAATCAGCTATACCCCCCTCCCCCCAAGTATGGTACGTTTTATGCGCACAGTGTACCTCCATCAGGCAGTCGGAGATGGGTTCTACGAACCCGATCAGCCGCATCCTTTTAACTGCCCGTTTGACTCGTTTGACTCACCGCACATAATGCACCTTGTCCACTTTTGTAAAATCCCCTGCAGCAGTAAAAAGTGTCTGCAAATGTCCACTAAAACACCCTTCTCATCAGCTTCTCTTCCCACCAGACCAAAGGCGCGCTTAGAAGAAGGAGGAGGGAAAGAGAAAGAGACGTACTTTGGCAACCAAGCAGCGGGGGTAAACGTCCCCTTCAAGCTGGGTACATTTTCTTCTACCCATTCATTCACCGTCACCCCCTTCGCCCCGCGCTCCCCTCCAAGCACATTATTTTTCCTCGCGAAATCCACCAACCCAGGCTTACCCGGTACCACCTTGACGATATCACTACTCCACCTCACCATATTGAGGAAACCAAAGAACGAGTATGCGCCGTCTCTGAAAGCGGCGAGGAGGAGGCCGAGGGTGTAGGTGTAGATTGTTGAGAAGAATGAGGGGAGGGGGGACATTTTTGAAGAATGAGGGAAGGACAAGGGGGGAGGAAAGAGCGATCCGGAAATGACGGAGGTGGTCGCCTCTTAGGCGGCGGTCGCCGCTACGGACATCCGAATGGCCATCTCGATCTCGCTCGCTGTTGTCTCTGCACCAGCATGTCGCTCGACGTCGCCCACCCGGCCCTCACCGCCGCCCGCCAGGCCATCGCGGACCCGGCGGACCGGACCACGTGGTTCCTGCTGCAGTACAACCCGGCGGCCCCCTCCCCCCAGGCGATCCCCCTCGCCGCAGGGCCCCTCCCGGTCCTGCCCGCCTGGCGCCGACATCTCCACGAGACAGACCAGGGCGTGTTGTTTGGCTATGCACAGATCGCAGACAAGGGCCTCGTCCTCCTCTACTTGCGCCCCGACGTCGGGTGAGTCCCCTGCTCTTCCCCGCGACGACCTGCTGACGCGCCACGTCCAAGCGGCGTCAAGAGAGCCCGCGCCATCGTCCATTCCCGCGCCATCGCCAACATGTACCCCGAGTACTCTTGCCTCATCACCCTCGCCGACCCCGCCGAGCTGACAGAAGAGCTTATTTCGGAGAGGCTCGGGCTGGGGGTGCCGGCGCCGGTGGAGAAGGCGCGGGTGGAGATCCCAGGCGGGGACGGTCCGAATCCACTGGCCCCGGGGTTGGGCAGGGGGATCCCGCCTCAGAAACAGCGGGATGCCACGCCGATGTCTGCGGCGGCGGGATCAGAGACGGGTTCGCCGTCGAGGACCAACTTGTCCGAACGGCGCAAACCTCCTCCACAGCTTTCGGCTCTCGGACTGGGCACGCCATCCCCGCCCGAGCCGCAGGCTATTGCCCTCCCGTCGGTGGAGCAGCTGAAGGAAAAGGAAAAGGACGACCGGAACCGCAAACCATCATTCACTTCCCGCCTCAAGCACACATTCCACCGCTCATCCCCCTCCATCGAAGATACACCCACCTCTTCACCTTCCAATACCGACAAACCCACTCCGCTTACCCCGACGAGCCCGTCCTCCCCGAGCATGGGCATGGGCAGTGGCCGGTTCAAGGCGGCCTCGTTGGGCAAGGTGTTTTCGAAAAAAAGAGCGGGGACGGGGGAGATGGAGAGTCTGCGGGCGGACGGGGGTGGTGAACCCCCCAGGCCTATCAGCCATGATTTCAGCCCAGCCCTCCCCCCGAAAGACGCTCCCCTCTCCGTCTCCGTCCCCATCTCCCAAACCTCCCAAACATCCCAAACCTCCGCTTCCCCTTCCCCTCTGGCGCCTTCAGCCGCGCCCTCGCTCCATGCGGCGCACGGGCACTCGCCTTACCCGGCCCCCAGCGCGACCCCCAGCGCGACCGCGACACCGCCTGGAGGTGGGGGCCCGCCGTTACTAGGCCCGCCCGTACCGCTCGTATCGAGAGACAGCACAAAGAGCGAAAGCGATGCTCCGAGCCAGAGCGAGAGCCAGAGCCAGAGCCGGTATCATACACCCCTAGGCTCGCCTTCGCCTTTTGAAGAGGAGGTCGTGCCGAATCCAAGGTCTACGTCCCTCCTCACGCCGCTGCTTACGCCGGGTGGGGGGGAAGCAGGTCTCTCGCCTTCGCCTTCGCCTTCGCCTTCGCCTTCGCCTTCGCCTTCGCCTTCGCCTTCGCCTTCGCCTTCGCCTTCGCCTTCGCCTTCGCCTTCGCC